GCTTATTAATTCCAGACAGATATCCAAAGTCTTGAACATCCAAAAAAATTAACAGATTTATTGTGGCACACTTCCTCAAATATATGATGTATATATTCAGTTGGTATATACCTCCACATGCAAGTATGGCAGTATCAAAAGGCAATGAAATACACGGAGTCACAGCATTTCTAGGTAATGCTCCAATGTAATAGGAGACAGCACAATCATTGTAGCTTTGATAGCCTACTTTAGCATGACTCCTTATAGTGAGATGAAAACCTGGTCTTGATTGAGTCCTAAATAAATTCAATAAAGCATTCTAGTTTAGCTTTTGAAATGTAGAAGCTGCTAGGCTGAGTCCACTGACATCCACCAGAGGACCCAGGAGTATGCAGCTAAACCTTCTCTCACCTTTCCCCTTAATTTTCTTTCCTCTTCTCTTTTCTTGCTATAGTTTTCTGATTGGGAAAGAGAATGAGTGTTTCTGTTTTTCTTTTGTAGTTGAAGAAACCCCAAAGTCCCAACACAGTCTATTTCACGCAAGTGCATTGGCTGAAAAGCCAGCACCTCACCTACAATCTCTGTGCCTTCCTACCTAACTGTGAAGCATAGTGGCTTTGAGTGCTTAGGGACTGGGGTCAGGGAACAGGTTTGTCAGAAAGAAATTGTCACTGGAGATGCCAGTAATAACAGCAGTCCATAAAGTTAAACTTTTCTGTACCAGCTTTTTCTTCTTTTTTTGTGAGTACTGTGTGTGTGTGTGCCTGGAAGTCATAGTTGACTTCTGGCGACCCCTAGTGGGGCTTGGACATTTCAGAGAGCTGGCTTGTTATTGCTTGCCTCTGCATACCGGCCCTGGTATTCCTTGGAGGTCTCCCATCCAACTACTTGCCAGTGTTGGCCCTGCTTAGCTTCCAAGATCTGACAAGATTGGGCTTGCCCGGACTATCCAGGTCAGGGCTTCTGTACCAGTTTTAGATTACTTCTGAATTACAAAGAGGAGGAGTGGAAAAGTGAAGATCCCTTTGAGAAAAGCAGCTCAAAGCACTGAAAAAAAAATGCGATTTCTTCTCTTTGATCTCTCTTGCACTAGTTCTTTGAGCAGGGTTCATTCATTTCCCCTTGTGCCTCTTCTGCCCTAATTTCCTCCCACTTTTAATTTGTCCCTATTGACTTTAATTAGGATCTCATTAGTAACTTTCACTAGCCTGGTAAGCACTCCTGTACCACAAGCCCCCTCCCCCCCCTCCCCAGTACCCACTGTTTGGTGCTCAACATAGTTTATTTTCCTCAGGCCAGAGGGACAAGTCCCTGCAGTTTCTCACAGAACAGAAGCAAAGGCAAAGAAGAGGCAGGCACCAAGGTGGAAGCATCCAGAAAAACCTGACTTTCATCTAAACAGCACCACACTGGAAAACTCCATAGCTGCAAGACTTCAAGAGAGCACTGCCAACTTCTTAAGAAGAGGCCGAAATAAGTTCAGTTCTCTACAATGAACTGTATTTTAAACACTGATGATTCCTGTGTGCAATGTCATAAAATAATACTCTGCTTGTATGTTCTTTTCATGTAGCACATGCCTACATGTTTATAGCAGTTCAATACTAATTTAGAAGCAGGACTATGTAGATTGCAGCCAGCTTTGGTCAGCAGTGGGGGGGGGATGTGCCCCCCATCACTGGGCGGCTTGGTCCTCACTGAAAGGAATCCCATGGAATGTGTGTGTGCAAGCGCATGGAAAACATCTATGTGCAGAATCCAAAGAGGTGCCCTTGTATCCCTCAGTGGCCATTGCATTGCACAAGATTTCCTACACACATGCCCTACCTCATATTGATGGGCATGTTGCTAATTTTTTTTGCCACTCCCCTTCCATAATACATAGGTAAAATATTAGTCTGAGATTGAGCAAGAAGTCTCTTGATGTAGGTATGGTTGGTATCACGTTGCATAAACAGAGGCTCTCCCACTAGAGCACCTTCATCACACCTGTGCTTGTGTTGTGGGCCCAGTCCCGTAAAGTTCTGGACATCCTTAGTGGCTGACAAAAAATCAATAGCACTCTAATGGCTCTTGGTGCATTGCCCCTTGCAAAGAATGCCTGCCCTGACAGCCTTTAACAATTACTCTCTAAGCAGGACTAATAATGCTGACTTGCGCTCCAGCTCTTTTTCAACTCCGATATGGTTGCCTTCCTTATTAATATTATCAGGTGCTTTATGAAGACAGACTCTCCAAGCTTTCTGGTGCTAATAATAGCCCCAGCTCCACTGGACAAGAGAGTCAATAATGGTAAGCTGGAGAGCTTATCTGAGGTGTACTCCCCTGCATACAAATCTCATTTAAAGAACGCCCAGTGTCAGTAAACAGTTTTATTACTGACTATTTATATTGGTTTCCCTTTATCCCCACAGATCTGATGGTAAATTACCCGCCCGAGCGCTATTCATTCAGGGTCCCTCATAGTTAACAAACCAGTCACAGGCACTGCTGTGGTGGAACACATGTATTGATTTCCCCCAAATCAAAAGAGAGGGCCGAGAGAGAATGCATGGGCTTTTCATTACAGTGGGAGCCGCCAATGGAGAGGCTCCTTTTGCTGCATTTGAATGAAGGGAATGGAATCTTTTGCCCAAATCTTTAGAGAAGAGATTGGCAGCCAGCAGAGACCCAAAAGTGGATAACTGGTAGATTTGAAAGAGCAATGGGGAACTAGCAGTCAGGTCTAATGTTAGAGGTTGTGTATGAAGGGAACTGTGGGAACTGTGCTGGATACCCCTTCCCCGTCGGTGTGACCAAAAGTAATCATTTATGATGTTTATAGTCCTCTTTCCTTCTATCATGGAACTCGAGGTGCAGGTACAGTTCCTTGGAGGCCTCCTGCCCAGGTGCTGTTCAGCTCCAGAGCAATGGTAGCCTCTCAAGAGCTTTCCAACCATGCCCTGGGATAATAAAAAGTGCCTTGCATCTTCCATGGTTGTGCCACTGAACAATGGAGAAAAGAGCATGAAGTCTGGAAGTCAACAGCCTGATAATCTCAGTTTTCCCCTCCAAGCCTTTTTTAAAAAGATGCCTAATAAATGTATGCTTGAAAATGTGTGGGCAACAGCTGGTGAAAACTAGAAGCTGGGGAAATGTCCATTCCTCTTTGCTCAATCCACAGGCACAAGCAGAAGGAGAATAAACTGTACAAAACAGCAAATCTGCCAATTTGCATAAGTTATTCTCTCTCTCTCTGTTAGTGTACCATATCCACAGCTTGGTAATAAACCGATAGCCCTTCCCATCCTGGCATGGGGCCGGACACCCAGGCCCCAAGGCATAATGAGAACCTGCTTGCTGGATCAGACCAAGGCCAGCATTTTGTTCCCAAATGTGGCCAGACAGCCAGATGGGCCTGAGCCCTCTAGACCTACTAGAATGAAGTGCTTTTGGGTTCCCTCCAAAGCCGGGGAACACTGCAGAAGCACTGCAGAAGCCAGGCAACAGCAGCAACCCAGAAGAGGTCACTTAAAGCAAGAAGCAGCCAAGGGCAGACCAGGCAGTACCTGACCACACAAGGGGCGAAGCAGGGCTAGGGGAGCAGCAGGCCCCGGCAGGAAGGACTTGTGTCTGAGCAGTGATCAATTCATCGGGCGTCAACTGCTGTGGTTCCCCTAGACCAGGCCATTCCACACCCTCCCGGCAAGCGGATAGTGCGCAGAGCTGGCCTGTGGGAGGGGCAACCCCCACCCTTTACAGGTCCTCGGGGCTCCACCCGCCCCCACGCCAGCCCTCAACAATGCCCCACGGAGCTCTCCGGCAAATCCGGGCTCCGCCGAGCAGGCACTGCTCCGCTTTCGAGAGCCCTGCTCCGCCTGCCGTTTGGGGCTCTCTCTGCGCATCCTACGTGGCGTCGGCTTCCGCAGCCGCTCCTTGAGGAGGACAAGGAGGCCACGCATGGCAGGCAGTGCCCCCAGGGAATGGCAGTCGGGAGCGGGGGGCAGCAGCAGGGCATCCCGGCCGCTCTTTCTCCCAGCGGATGCCCTGTGCCCGCGGGGCGCAGCGTGTCAAGCCGACTGCCCGCTTCACCAGCAGCGCCCTCCCTCCCGTGTCCCCCTGGCCGGGCTGGACGAGGCGCCCGGGCTGCTGCATCAAGCGGCTCTGAGCGGATCAGGTGGGCGGGCAGCGCGGAAGGGGTTAAGCGGTGGGAGACGCTCCGCCAAGGAGCCGGGTGTTCCCAGCAGGTGGCCTCTCCGTCTGGGAGGGCGGCCGAGGGGAGAGGCGGGGGCGGGCGCCGCTCGCGGGGCCGGTGGTGGAGCGGAGACAGAAACTTTCCCCGGATCTTTTCCCCAGCACGAGGAGGAGGAGGACGCAGGCGCCAAACCTCCGCCCGCCGGGGGAGACGCTGCAGCGGCCGCGGGGGAGCAATTCTCGACAGGCTCGCCGGCCCCCTCGGGGAGGTGCAGCGCCGGAGAGACGCCCCGGAGGCGCCCCCCTCCCCGGCTCCTGGGCCACTTCTTTGCTTCTCTTTTTTCCTCCTTTCCCTCTTTCCTTCTCTCTTTTTATCCCCTCTTTCCTTCCTTCTTTCCTTCTCTTTCTTTCCCTCTTTCCTTTCCTTCTTTCCTTCTGTCTACTCTCTCTCTTTCCTTCCCTCTTTCCTTGATCTGTGGCCCAACTCTAGTGAGAAGGGGTTTAAACTTTAAAC